GAATCAATCTCTCTAAACCCCTCCTTTCCGTGAGCCTACTCTGCTCTGATTGGCCCAATCCTTTGTTATTGGTCTACCGCATACAGTGTGTGTCAGAAATGATACACCCATTGTCATAACTGAATGACAGCTCCAGAGAGAATGTATAGAGAGAAAACATGGTATTGATTTTACCTTATAAATTCGAGCCCGAGTCCGATGATGAAACATCTAGTTGATCAACCAGACACTGATTCGCGCAACTTTATTTTTTCGCAACAACTTTGGCTTCACAACTTTGCAGAGTTGCAGTTTACATTCACAGACAGCTGCATTATACACTGCATGCAAGGCAATATTCGAAATGGCATAATAGTGACACTTTAATGATTTCAATCCTTTGATAGCCCAATTGATTGATTTTTTACATTTGCAAAGATGCAAATGGCCTTAACAATGTAAACGGAATCTTTAAAAATGTATTTCTGAAAAAATGTAAAATTGATTTTTTTAAATTTATGATATTGTATAACGCCTTTCATGTTTTGAAACCACAAAGAAAGACGGAGTGCTTCCCAAGCCTATCCAATTGCAGTGTAACAAACAAAAGAGTGTAACATTCAACCTTTAGCAAAAGCAGCAATTAATTCAAGCAGAGTATCACGATAGTGGACAGACCCCTCTGAATTCCTGCTCTGTACCCAACCACAGCTATTAGCTTATCACCCGCAAAGGCTAAATGTTCTGCATATTTTACGGGGATGTTTGGAAAGCTTTCACAGCCTCTAAAATCTTCCTACTTAGCTACATCCAAATCTGTGGGTAGCTTACAGTCTGTTCACTGGCCACCTGATGCACATTTTGCACAAAAATGGCAAGAGCTGCAAAATCGGCAGTTCCAATCTGATCGGCATGCGATATGTGACTTCTGAGAGTCAGGTGGTGCACCAGTCACTTGAAACAATCAATGTTCACGGCCATTACAGCTTTCAGTCTTTAACTAACGATTGAGCTCTAAGTGTCCATAAATTTGAAAGAAAACCTTCCATGATAGCACTTTATATCATTTACGGCTGTTGTGTTTGAGAAAATATGAGCTCACATTTGAAAAATACACTGTAACATGCATGGACACTAACTGTAAATAAACGCAGTAAGAATAGACCATTTTACCGCCACTGTTGTCTCGATGAACAATACATGCTGCATCTGCCAAATGGAGTCTGACTAGTCTGACTAAATCATTTAGGGCCAAAAAAAAAGCTGGTATGTCATACTCTGGTGAGTCCACATAAGTGTTGTGATGGAGTAAAGTGATCTGCCAGAAGAAACGACATATCAGTAAGACCACAAAAAGAAATCAGGCTTCACTGGGCAAAAGCTCTTAAGATCAGTGCAGGATCTCAGGGGTTTTATACTAAAAATACAACTTGAAAGTACTGATTTTGAGGTCATTTTATTTATAGTCACACATATAAATATATAAAGATTAATAAAAAAGATTATAATATGATACAGTTGTTCTAATTACCATTCATTTTATTCAGCCTATTAGTAGTCTTTTCATAAATAGCTATTACATTATTAATAAAATTATAAAAATGACACAACATCCTTCTCAGGCAGATCCTGTAATTTGTTTTTATGTCCACTAATGTATAATGTGCCTTTTTTGGATTGTACAAATCATCAGGATCAAAATCTGGTAATGGGATTGAGCTTGGGGTGTTTTTGGTTTTCTTTGCTGTCCTTGCAACCCAAACCACTTCTTTGTTTGACTTTTCCATTCCATAACGCATGTTATATTTAGAATATGTAGGCTAATCATCTTTCTAAGGCGGCTAATGCATCTAACTGTCCTATTAAATGCATCTACAGTAACTGTTCTTTTTCTAACTTTATTTCCTTGGTGTTTGTGTTGTTGGCTCCAGAGTGCTTTACACGACAGCACGTGCAATGCATGATAATTAGTTCAGCGACAGCTATATACAGCCAGCGTATTAAATCCAAACTTAAAAATGATTCAAATGCATGTTTACAGCTAAAGTGAAAGAAACTTGTAACTGAAAATAAATCATTTCAGATTCACTGAATATATGCAATACAGCTTTCTAAATTCAGTTTGAATTTCCACATGAATGAAGCATCAACAAACACTTATTTAAATAATATTTCATGCATTAAAAACAAGCTAAAATAACAATATTCACAAAAACTGTTCCCTGTACTGCATAGCCATGCCATTGTATCACAAATCTGGATGTACAGTATACGTCACATAACCCATAATTGTAAAAAAAGGACAGTATGTACTAGGCCATAAGTAAAGTATGATGAAATATCAAAAACATGACCAGCAAAAAACATTTAGACTATTATAATATTACAAAATGTCTGGCTGTATTTCACAAATAACATCACTCAGCCCAGTAAAGTCAGTAAAGTCATTTTGTCAGAAATATTATTGTGCCGATCTGAGTCATGTTAAAATTAACACACAACATTTGATGTCAGAGGAGGGGGTTTGGTGAAGAAAATGACATTTTGGGAAAGAAGAATCACATAGAGGAGAAAGACTTAATGAGGGAGAGACTTTCCGCCCTCCCAAGAGGAGATGACCTTTCCTCCTTCCCTTCAGTGGGTCCTTCAAATTTATTAGGCTCCTGTTGATATGTGGGCTGTGGAGACACAACGTCTGGCCACCCAGTCTGCGCTCTGTCATTTAAAACACAGGACGTTTAGGACGCATAAAAACCAAAAGGTTCATTCAAGTCCATGTGTGGAATTAACAAGCGGTTTTCTTTGGGAGCTGGGGAATTCATTGTGATGGAAATTTGGTCGAGATTAAAGAGTGTGCTATCAGTCAAACATAAAATGCATGCCAGAAATTTTAAATAATCTACTTATATATACTTGTTATTGGAGATTTTTCTTGGGTGATTCTCAAAAAAACATGTGCAGGTCATATTTTACCCCGAAATCAAAAGAGAAAAATTTAAATTGAAAATAGCCTCAATAAAAAGAAGAAACTAAATATAGAAGAAAGAAACTAAAATAATGTTCTTTATGCAGAATATATTGTTTTATTTATCTCACTATGTAGTTTTTATTAAACACTTTTAAAAATAAAGGTTCTTTGTTGGCATTTATGATCCCATGAAGAACCTTTAGCACCCATGGAACCTTTCCAATGCACAACACTGGAAAAAATGTTCATTAGACTTATTATAGACTATTATTATTACATCTATAGACTTATTATTATTATATTCTTCAGAGAGAGAGGGAGAGAGAGAGAGAGAGAGAGATTCATTTATCCACTGTGTGTTTTGTTATTAAGAAAAATCAAGCCTATCGGAGTCAAGGAAGTCTAACATATCAGTAGTTGTATTACTTAACTTATTCCACATGGCCTTAATCAATATGGTTTGTCTTTTGAAAATGCTGCCCGTTACTGAATGTGATTTATTTCCATCGGCCATTACAACTTCAAAAGTGGCCACTTTAATCCTCAGAGAGCCACAATTGAATAAGACATAAGCACTCATCATCTTTTTTATTAAAGTTCCTGACCGTATTTCTTAATGAGCCCACAATTAGCATGTCCATCTGCTTTGTCCGTGCCTCAAGTGAACACAGGATCTTTTACTTTCTAGCCCATTCATGAAGTGCTTAGCCTGTTCACTTGCCTTTAACATTATCACATAGAAAATCATGCATAGCTTGCATGCATAGGTTGTGAGACTATGACAAACATCAAAGGTCACAGAAATTTTGCTTATTGGCATGAAAGGTAAAAAATGTTGTAATGAGAGTATCATGATGATTTCTCCTAGCTATGGTAAAAAGAATGTCTATCCATTAGTTGTGCAAGGATTCAAAGAAAGGTTAGCCAACATGAAAAGTAAAAGCTATGGATTCCAAAAGAGATATACCTCTAACTGGAACCTGCATTTCAGAAGTAAAAAATTATCCTCAGAAAATTGTTTAAAGTTGGCATTAAAATAAAAAATTCACTCTATCTGTTTTCTTCATGCATGTTATTGATCTTATTGTGAACGATTCATTCATGCGCATTTATTTTTTTGACCTCATCATTTTTTATTAAATTGTCATAACTCGATCTTAAAGTGAAATGACAGACTTGTCTCTGGTGACGTATTTTGGACTTCTCGGATCATTTAGTATACTTAAACCCTGCTCTTTTCTTACAACAGACATTCAACCAATCTGCCATCCCTGTCCATCATGTTTTCCTTTTCAATAGTCCATTTCATTGGATGTATGTCACAATACAAAAATAACATTTCTGTTGCTACTTCCATTTTATTGTAATATTAACATGATTTACAATAGGTCATATGGTCCTGTATCAACATCATCTGTTGTTTCTACACTGAAAAAAATTTATGTTGAAGAAACAATTTTTTTACTCATAAATTGCTTATAAATTTTACTATTAATTACAAAGAAACAGCAAGTAACAAACTGAATTAAACATGAAAATTTTGAAGTAGATAGACTAAAATAGTTTTCTTCTTATAAAACATACTCCAATAATCTTTGTTTTATTTACAACTTCAAAAAAATATTTTTAGTCTAACCAATAACTGGCCTCTAATTTTTATGGCTAGCTATTATTGATCGGTTGATAGGTATGCCATTTCCGGGATGTTGATTCAGGAAAACACTGAGTAAAATCAAATCAAGTTGATTTCTGATTGATCTAACTTAATGATCAAAAAAACATTATGAGATTAAAATTTGGGAATTTTAAAAGTCATCCCAATGACTCGAATCTTTTGAATTGTTCACTGATTCATTCAGTGACTCTTTCTGTCTGTTGCATCATTACACCAGCTACTATTTTCTAATATTACAATCTGAGCTACGATATATGCACTAAATGTAGCTTGCCCAACATTGTTTACAAGTGCATGGAAGCAAACAAGAATGACTCATTCACTTAAAAGACTCATTCAGAGAACGACTAAAACACACTTGAAAGACATTTTACTCACATGTAGCGGAGGTGAGGGTTCTGCGCAAATGCTCGTGCCTGGATTGTCCGTAAATTGCAGTTTATTATTGTCCTGGAAAAAAAAGAGAGACCATATGAAACCATATGAAAAATGCACAGTTCCTCTCAAAAACCGGTGAATGACAGGTGTCATTGGCTGGCCACAAATGACGAGCATCAATCCAGCAATGATGAGTGCAAATTAATTTCCCAAGGTGAAACCACCAACATTTATTTCAGCCTCCACACAGCACAGTTCATCCAGTAATTTTGACTGAGGGCCCTGTTGTTGGTCATTTGTACCTGGCATTGCAAGTCGATCATTCAAACCTGAGGAAGCCAACAGTTCATTAGAGCCTTGCGTCTTGATATACACCGTTTATGATGATAAACTGCAGAAGCAATCTCAGTTCACCATCTTTCCCATCTCTTCAGAGAGTGTCATTAGAATAATGGTATCATCAGGGTCCCCAATTCCACAGCACTGAGCACTGAGCAGCAGCTGGAATGAATTGTGCATCCTAAAGACTCTGTGCACAGTCTCGGTGGCATTAATTGGTAATGACTGCATCCTTTTCATTACAGGAATTTAATGCAAAAAGTGATTACACTCACAACACCCTTATCCGGTGAACAGTAATCAGTACATAATTAGTTTTATTATGATGATGGCTCTATAGCTATAACTATTTCTAGGAATACAATTATCCATCTCTGTTATGTGGAAGATATAAGGAGGATGTTGGCCGTGTTTATACCATTTCTCCTATTAACCATTCAGCTCTTAAAAGCCTGAAAACAAATGCAAGGGGCCCTATTACGAAACCCTCCTGATGGTCCTTCACGTGACACGCATGAACTTGTGGGGGTGGGATTATGAGTGTAGGCAGATATTTCATTCCGGCACTGCTGCAATGGTGCTTCTGTATGTGCTAGTGAACTCCCTACGAGCAGGTCGGTGGTCCCTACCAGTGTTTGAACTAGAAAAGTTTGGCAAAGTTTGGCTGAATTTTTAAAAATGTTTAAAAAACCTAGCACTTCAAATGTTGTTCAGGCCTTATGTACTTTGAATACCTCAAGATCTATACAAGGTTAAAAGGATAGTTTTGCCAAAAATAAAATTCTGTCATCATTTACTTACACTCATGTCCTTCCAAAACAGCATGGTGTCTTTCTTCCATGGAACACAAAAGAGATATTTTGGGTACAAACAACATATACAAACAATCAAATAAATAAAATTTTGTGTTCTGTAGAAGGAGGTTATACACGTTTGGAACAAGTAAATAGTGACAGAATTTTTATCTTTGTGTGAACTATCACTTTAAGACTTGCATTAGATGGATGGACGCATAGATAGATACAGTATGTGAATGTATGGATAGGTGGATGTATGGATAGACAGACAAATGGACAGATATATGGCAGATAGATAGAAAGACGATTGGATAGATAGATGGACAAATGATTGGCTGGATGGATGGATGGATGGATGGATGGATAGACAGATAGACTGACAGATTAATGGATAAACAGTTGGATGGATGGATGGATGGATGGATGGATGGATGGACGGACGAATAGGCAGATGGATAGATAGACGGACAGTTAGACGGATTGATGGGCAGATAGACAGTTGGTTGGATGGATGGATAAATAAATAAATAGATAGATGGACATACTAACAGAGATGGATGGATGGAAAAATAGATGGATAGACAGTTGGACGGATGGAAGGGCAGATGAACAGATGGTTGTATAGGTGGATGGATGGATCAATGGACGGTTAAATAGACTGATGGATGGATGGATGGATGGATGAATAGGCAGATGGATAGATAGACAGTTAGATGGATGGATGGGCGGATAGACAGATGGTTGGATGGACGGAAGAATAAATAGATAGATGGACATACTAACAGAGATGGATGGAAAAATAGATGGATAGATGGATAGACAGTTGGACAGACGGAAGAGCAGATGAACAGATGTTTGTATAGGTGGATGGATGGATCAATGGACGGTTAAATAGACTGATGGACAAATGATGGATGAATGGATGGATGGATGGATGGATGGATGGATAAACAGATGGATGGATGGATGGATGGATGGATGGATGGATAGGCAGATGGATAGATAGACAGACGGATGGATGGGCGGATAGACAGATGGTTGGATTGATGGATGAATAAATAGATTGATGGACATACTAACAGAGATGGATGGATGGAAAGATAGATGGATAGATGGATAGACAGTTGGACGGATGGAAGGGCAGATTAACAGATGGTTGTATATGTGGATGGATGGATGGATCAATGGATGGTTAAATAGACTGATGGACAGATGGATACATGGATGGATGGATGGATGGAAAAATAGATGGATAGATGGATAGACAGTTGGACGGATGGAAGGGCAGATGAACAGATGGTTGTATAGGTGGATGGATGGATCAATGGACAGTTAAATAGACTGATGGACAGATGGATACATGGATGGATGGATGGATGATAGACAGTTGGATGGATAGATAGATAGATAGATAGATAGATAGATAGATAGATAGATAGATAGATAGATAGATAGATAGATAGATAGATAGAGCAATGGATGGATGGATGGTCAGGTGAATAGACAGATGGTTGATAGATGGATGGATAGATGGAAGGATGTCTGGATAGATAGCCTGATGCTTGGATGGATAGACAGATGGATAGACGGACAGATGGACAGATTGATAGACAAGAATTACAGTTTAAAATATGGTCTTAGTTTAGGACGTTTGAGAAAAGTTTGTACAGCAACTCATCATTAAGTCGACATAATATCAGTGCACAAAACTACCAGCTTACACATTAAAACCCCTCAGGTGGACTGAGATGTTGTATGACTCAACTAAACTATTCCACACCAAACCTCCAACGACAGGTCCTGCATTTATGTGTTTGGTTATGTAACATTGCTATCTACAGTGTTTGTGCTTAAAAAAAAGATGTGAAGCGCAGTGCTCAACACATGCGGAAGTTGATGACCTTTAGTGGAACCTCAGAGGGTAATTTAGAGGCCTGGAGAACTGTTCCCAGGGGTGGGAAGGACCAGGAGAGCCCACCATTAGCAGAAGAGAGAGTAATGTTAATGAGAAAAATGCAAATGGGAAGCTGGGAATAGTCCACTTGGCTTCCTTACTGAGGGATCAAGGGGAGTGGAGGGAGAAACTCCGTCTTGAGGATTCGATGAAGAGAGGATGGGGTGAGAAAGATGGGAGGCCTTGACAGAGGTGAAGTGAAGCTCATAAGCGGGAGTGATGAAACTCTGTGGGAGGTCTGGATCCGCAACAGATGGTCCAGTCTGTTTCCTCCCACTAGACATTTTCATATACTTTTATATATGTACTTTTAACTACATGAAATCTTTTAACTATGTTTCACTGATGTTAAAACGTCTCAGGTTACTTATGTAACCATGGTTCCCTGAGTAGGGAACGAGACACTGCGTCCTCTAGGGGTCGCTATGGGGAACGCCTCGTCGTGACCCGTGTCTGAAGCATACATTGAAAAAACACCAACTCGTTGGCCGGCGACAGCCATGACGTCACTACCGGTGCGACTATAGTATAAATAGGCGCCGGGAGCACACATCATTCACTTCTTCGTCTGAAGCTTGCGTCCGCAGCATGGCAGTTGGTGTTTTTTCAATGTATGCTTCAGACACGGGTCACGACGAGGCGTTCCCCATAGCGACCCCTAGAGGACGCAGTTCGAAGTTCCCATGAAGGGGAACTGATTATATTTTCTGAAATGAAGAACAGATGAGCAACTTGTTATTTTATTAAATTACATTAGAATTCTTAAATAATTACCAGTTTGATATTGGTACCTAAAAAACAACTCTGAGCAAGTAAGTAAACATTTATTTATATAGCACCTCTCAAAACAAAGTTACAAAGTGCTTTACAATAAAAAAAATACCATCAAAATTAAGAAAAAGACATATGATAAAAATGAGTCTTAAGAAGAGACTTAAAAGAGGATACAGGAGCCTGCCTAATATCCCCAGGCAGGGAGTTCCATAGTTTAGGTGCACAGATAGCAAAAGCGCGGTCACCTTTGGTAACAAGTTGAGATTTTGGAACCATTAATAGGGCCCTACCGGAGGATCTCAAGCAGCGATCACGCTCATAAGGAATTAATAAATCACAAATATAGGCAGGAGCCTGACCCTTCAAGGCCTTAAAAACAAGCAAGAAAATCTTAAAATCAATTCTAAAACTCACAGGCAACCAGTGAAGAGCAGCAATAATCGGTGTAATGTGGTCACTTTTCTTAGTATGTGTTAAAAGCCTAGCAGCAGCATTTTGAATCAGCTGCCATCTTTGGAGATTTATCTTGCTAATACCAGAATAAAGTGCATTACAATAATCAAGTCTGGAAGAAGTAAAAGCATGAATGACCTTTTCCAAATCTGCCAAAGAAAGGAATGACTTTATCTTCGTTAGTTGCCTCAGTTGTGCAAAACAAGACTGCAACACTTTAGTCACCTGAACATCAAAGGACAGTTCTGAGTCAAAAACTACACCTAAGTTGCAAGCCTCTTTTCGAACATTATTAGATAAGGCACGCAGACTAGAGGAGAGATTATTAATACTAGCACTACTGGGGACGCATGGGGTAATTATAATCACTTCTGACTTGGAGTCATCCAACTGCAGAAAATTTTTCAACATCCAATTTTTGATTTCGATGAAGCATGACATAATATGGGATGTATCAATAATACCAGGCATTACCGGGACATACAATTGCATATCATCTGCATAGCAGTGGAACTCAATGTCATAACTGCACATAATTTGACCCAGGGGTAACATGTAGACAGTAAATAGAAGGGGACCCAAAATAGATCTCTGAAGGACCACAAAAACAAAGGAGCACGAGAAGAGGAGGCATCTCCAAGCACTAAGGAAAAAGACATATTCGACAAATAAGAAATAAACCTCTGAGAATTTTTGGAGAAATTAAATTGTTCTCTAAAATGCTTGGTAATGGCAGCATTGTGCACAGTGAATCGTTATAAAAATACACAAAAAGTTTAAATTATTCTAATATAAGTAAAATAAGTACTTAGTAAAGGTGCAAAGATGATTTGTGGTTAGTGAGATATTTATTTATTAAGAGATAAATGTATACTTTTATTCAGCAAGAAAGCATTAAATTAATTTAAAAAATGAGAGTAAATACTTAAGTAAAGTATTTATAATTTTACAAAGGATTTCTATTTCAAATGAATACTGTTCTTACAACGTTTTGTTGAAAGAATCCTGAAGTTAAATTAAAAATACTTCTACATGTTCCATACAACCATTTTCAACTACTACTACTACTACTAATAATAATAACAATAACAATAGTAACAATAGTAAATGTTTCTTGAGTACCAAATCAGCATAAAATGATGATTTAAGGATGTGACAATGAAAACTGTAGCAATGATCAAAAAATAAAATATATTAAAATAAAAAAACAGTTCTAAATTGTAATAATATTTAACAGTATTACTGCTTTTGATTGTATTTTTGACTATCATAAGAGAAATATCTTACTGACCCCAAACTTTTGAATAGAAGAGTATATAAAAATCTTAGAATTGCATATAGCCTAATATCTATTATCTTCATATTAAAGATAATAAACCTTTCACAATAACAAAATCAATTAATATCACAATTTAAATGTGCAAACCCACTGCATGTGATTTTTACCATTATTTTTTGCAAATTTTACTTTTCATGTTGTCTAATATAGCATCTTGGGTAAATAAATCTCTTGGGTAAATGTCACTGGAGACTGTGTGAAATCAACTGTCAGACTGTGTGATATAGATCTCAGGAATTAAGTCACGATTGACAGCGTAGAATGTGTGATCAATCATCTCACATTTTGACATCCCCATTGACAAACAGAACTGAAATTATATTGCACAAACACAAGCAAGCCCTTGAGCAAATGTCAGTAATGTTTCGCCCTGAGATTAGAGGAAGCGTTCGACAGCCCAAATCGTACAGTGTGCACCAGGCTTTAGTTTAAAACACGTACAACCACCAGTATAGGATCCGTTCTTTTAATACTCACAGTCTCTGGAGTCCTGTGTACAGTTCCATGTCAACATCCTTAAGAATCTGCAATCCTGTCCAGTTCTCTATGTGTCTACAAAAGAAAGAGAGAAAATATTGAAAACAGCACCATTACCACCAATTTATTCAGGCAGGGGATATATGTTTTTCCGCTTGATGGCTGGGGCAGGAACCCAATGGAAAGTCCCTGGAGTTTTGAAATATGTATCATAGTTCCGCGAGTGCTCGTGAAACATTCCTCTCAAAGGCATTGGTGTGTTGGTTAGGCAGATGGCCTAAGGGTGCGATTACTTGCAAACCACACCGTGAAATAATTAGTAAAACAATTTGTTTCTCCCTAGACTGTAATGTCAAATGCATAGAACATGTGGGGAGCATAAAGATAATTATCTTGTATACTGTGTAGAACAACAAGAGACATAAGTCAGTTTGTATATGAGAGAACAGGGATCACTGTAGCATTCAGTAAATGTATGGTCCGAAATATAACGCACAGTGCACTCATTATAGCCATATCATGTGCAAGCTTAGTTTAAACCTCCTAAATCTCATCCCCAAAATTATTTGCACTAGTGTTCAAAAGTGTGGGGTAAGCAAAATAAAAATAAAAGAAATAAAGAAATTATTTAAATTAATACTCTTATTCAGCAAGGACAAAAGTGATAGAAAGGACTCTTACATTTTTACAAAAAAATGCTGTTCTTTTGAAGTTTATATTTAGAATTCTAAAAAAAACCAAAAATCCCTGATTATGGTTTTCACAAAAACATTATGCAGCACAAACATTTTCAGCATTGATAATATTAAGAAATGGTTCTTGAGCAGCAAATCAGCATATTAGAATGATTTCTGAAGGATTGTGTGACACTGAAGACTGGAGTATTGATGCTGAAATCAATAATAAGCTTTGCATCACAGGAATAAATTGCATTTTAAAATATATTCAAATAGAAAACATTTACATTTTTAAAATATTCATCATTATTACTTTTATCAAATAAATGCAGCCTTCTTTTAAAAACATCTTACCGACCAAGCTTTCAAACAATAGTGTATATTATAAATATAAATATAATCATTAAAGGGGTCATATGATGTTGCTAAAAAGAACATTATTTTGTGTATTTGGTGTAATGAAATGTGTTTATGCAGTTTAAGGTTATAAAAACACATTATTTTCCACATACTGTACATTATTGTTTCTCCTCTATGCCCCGCCTTTCTGAAACGCATCGATTTTTACAAAGCTCACCAAAACTCGCGTTTGAATCATCAGTGGCAAATCCTTTAAATGAAAACGTACTTACAGTCTGTGAGTCAGAGCAGCCGTCATTGTAGTCTACTCTTCCAGGATCAGGAAACAGTCCTCCATAAAATGTGCTGCACACATCTGAATATTTGGGTTGAACTGTTCTGGAACAGTGTTGTAAATACAACTTAACCACTGATTTCTAGTTGTGTCCTCTTTTGGAAGGCCAAACAAAGTATTTTCGCTTTCGCAACGAAACACACATCGTCTTCACAACATGGCGGCAGCAGCAATACTACAGCGACTACTAGTTCTTTGCGTGAACATTTGGGCGGCGTTATGCAAATCTTCCCTCTTTGCAACTTTAGGGATCTTATCTATTCACGAACAGCTTGTAACACTCCAAAGAGAAAGGAAAACTTGAAATCGCATCATATGACCCCTTTAACATTATAGATATTTTTCATTTTCTGTTACAATTACACAGCATTTGTTTTATGAATTTAATTTGGTCCTTTGTGTATTTTTTTGTTCAATAGTCTATAATTTAATTGACGTGAGTAACGACAGAAACTTTTAGAAAAATAGTTTGAAGCATTTATTGTCCACCAGGAAAAATTGCAGTCCGATTTCTTGGAAAAGTAATAAAACACCTCTCCTGAACAAGCCACACAATTTGACATATCATTCATTTCCGTAGTAAAAACGTGCTGGATAAATTATATGCTGAAGTTTAATACTTAGGGTTGAGGTTTGTTCAAACAACTGACCCTAAGTATAAGCAACAGTAAATGTGATTTACATGCATAAAAATATGCTGATAAACATAAATGAGCATATTATAAAAATCCAGCAATGCAAGAAAAACATGTTTACATGAGATTTTCAAATCACAGTTTTTTTTTTTTTTTTCAGTCCTGACTGAAACATTAACAGACATTAACACTTTAAATAAATAAACAGCATATTTAAAAAG